AACGACTCGATGGAAATTAATGGAAACCCGTTCCTCCGCGTGAAACTGTTTAATTAACGAATATTTTCGGATGGAGCCCGCACGTGCACGTGTCGCAATATGTGCGAGAAAATCCTCTTGTTCATTTATACGGCTCGTAAATTTTGCACGTGATGGACCGCGAACCAAACGGAATAATTGTTGAAAGCGGTTCCGTTTTAAAATTTGAACAATGCGTCGCAATACAATTGTGTGCAAATCGTGAAAGACGTGTTAAATATAATCTGGCGGTTGTGTGCACGGATACAATCTGATATTTAAACGTTTCGTAATTGCGGAAAATCGTATCGCTCGTTTTGAAGCGATGTGCATGCTCCTACGTATCGAAGATAAATAAAATTTTTTCGTTATGATAAGAAGTACGAATGTTTCCAAGGATGAAGGTATGAAAGAAGAATGGACGAGATTTGAATAAGAACTTTCGAAAAACGAAATGGAATTAAAAGCTAGAATTATTTTTTTTTTTTCTTTCATTTTGAATAAAAGTTGTTACGTTCGGTCTTTCCATTTCGCGATGCCTGTTACTGAACTTTTTTAATGACGTAACGTTGCTCTTTGAGCAACTTGGTACGAAGAATTGCGTACACTCGTAAAAGAACTGAAAAATTTTAACGTTTGAAAAGAAGAAAGAGTGAATTTAGCTAAGAGTGAAGCAGTCATGACGTAATAAATACAATAAGAAAATCGTTCGAGTTGTGGACAAGTTGAATGAAACAGTTTAGCAAGATCTCTGTGCATAATTCTTGAGATTCGAAAATTATAAATCTCCAAATTTTCTGTTCCAGAAAACTGAACATTTCTGAAGGAAATTTATTATATCGTGCATAATGTATACATATGTATGAGTTCCAATTATTTTCAAAAGTATTTTGAATATAACCCTAAATTGTAATTAAACATATATAAAAGTACAAATTACAAAATTTTAAAGTTCAATCATGTAACAAAACCCATCAGAATAAATCGATAACAGAAGCTCGAATCGTCTTGATACATCTCGATACCGATTGAATATAACTCAAAAAGAAGATACGACACTCGTCATTTCTATCGATAGAAATCACGATTCTTAACTTAGAAGCATAACAAAAGTTTCGTTCTTGTATAAAAATAATCGTAGATTACGTTTAACACAATTTTAATCAATACACTTGGTTGAATCATGGTTGTTCTTAGTTTGCTAACTTGACTTGAAGTTTTCCAAGTTTCAGGCTCCACAACAGAATTTTACTGTTAAAGAAAATTCCACGAAATTGAGGAGAGGAATGAAAAAGTTCGTGGAAAAATTCACAACAGGTGTTATCGCTTTGAATTTCACGAATCAATTTCTGGAAGAAATGTTGGACGATCATTTGTGTCCGACCAAGTTTCAACTTCTTCTTCCGATGGAGTTCGGATGTTCTGTCCCGCGAGATCGAACGGAGAATAAAGATTTGTTTTGTGTATCGGTCTCGCGAGCCTCGCGAAAAATAGCTGTTGCGCGAAGAAATTCGCGGCGGAGATTGGAAGATTGGGAGCTGTTTGATTGGGTTGCTGCACCCAAGGAGGAATAAAAGTATCCGATCCGATTCGAAAATGTAATTTTTGAGGCGGTGTTGATAGATCGGATTCCGATTGTTGTTGCTGCCCATTCCTTTGGAAGAATTCCTATCCAATTCTTTCGATTCGAAAGGGATACGAGACACGGTATGTGAACATTTTCAATTGGTTTGATTTAATAATTAATCGTATTATATAATTTATAATAATTCGAAGAGAAGTTAAGGAACAAACTAACCGCAAATCTCTTTAGTTTCTTATTTTTATTTGATGCATAGGAGAAATTATTGCTCGTTGTTGATGAATGCATTATATTTCTACATAATGTTTTCCATATTGTTTTCCATCTTCAGTTTCAACATTAATTAATCTCGTTTAAAAATTCGTTTTATTCCTTCTAATTTCTGTTAATAAGTATTTGTGCTGTTATAACATCGATTAAGAATTTGAAAATTAATTTCATGATATGATATTTTTTTTTCTATCCACGAATTTTAATTTTCGCGATTAAAACAAATTAAAAACGCTTCCTTTTAGTAGACATTTGAAGGAAAAACAAGGAAATGTACGACAAAACGAAATTTTGTGCATCTAAAAGGAGAGAATTTTTGGTTTCCTTTCGTTTGAAATCGAGTTGAACGAAACTTCAATATACATTGCAGTAGGAAAAAAAAAGGGGGGGATTTATCTCCCCCTCGAAGAAACAGTGTTCACGATCAAACAACTTAACAGGATGCCTTCCAGAGGTTGTTCACAATTTAAATTAGAAAATTGGTTTTGACTGGTGGCTGAGGAAACAAACCCCCTATTCTCCCGCGTTCGTCCTCGAACTTGTTAAAACAGCACGAAATCTCGAGCGGCTTCTCTCGCCGGGAGGAAACCGTATAAACTTGCTAAACGAACTTCTTTAAACTTTTCTAATAACATCAGTCGAGAATTTCACCACCCCCTTCGCCGGTTGACTAATAAATCACGCGACAAAAAGTAGGAAATTTTTGACGCGGCTCGATTCGATCCTCCTCTCTCGCGCAAAATTTTCAATTTTTATTTTTTTTTCTTTTCTTTTCCGTCCCCTCTGCAAAATTAATTCTTCCTCGTCAGAATACGGAGCAACTGTATCTTCCTTTTTGTTGTTAATCTTGTTTAAAAGAACGGAGAAGAGATATTAATTGAATAAACGATACAAATAAATAAATAGAATCCACGCGAAAATTGAACCTTTTCAATTGTTATTCCAACTTTTCAGAGAGAGAGAGAGAGAGAGAGAGAAAAGAAATATTAATAGGAAAGAAAAATGATTGAGGATCATTAAGAAAGGTGAAACAGTCATTAGGGGGAGCTTTGAAGTTTGAACGAGAGAAAAAGTGCTTTGCATAAAATTGCACGTAGGCGGGAAAGTTGAACACCCACGCACACACCGATTAAACTCTCAAACACGGAGAGAGAGGTCGGTCGGAGAGGAATTTGGAGGAGGTAACGCTCGTTACTCGGGGAGGAAGGAAGCGGATGCTGTGTCGCTCGGTAGAAGGAACCGGAAGTGGCGGGTGCGGGCCTCGGTTAAATCGCGTAATCAACGTCCCCGTGAATATTCGACTTGCTTTGGGCGCAAAGGGGAAATTTCATTCGTCTCCGGTCGGCCAGCCAACGTGTAGCAGACATAATTACACGTCTGATTAAACATTACAATTGCAAGTCAACCGAGATTTGTCGAGTGGCGTCTGCGGCATTGCGGTTGTCTCCGGCAGATGCGTCTCTTCCACTCTCTCTCTCTCTCTCTCTCTCTTTGCCTGTTCTCGAAATACTCGTTGTGCAATTCGAGGAGGAGGCAGAGACTTGGAGGAGTGGAATGTGGAGCAGCAATCAAAAAAAGGTGTTGAAGGAAGGAAAGGAAGAATTGAAGAATGCGTGTGGAAGAATGGAATATGGTGTATTGATTTCGGAAATGTTGAAGCAAACTGAATGGAGGTAACTTCGTAATCGAGTTTGGAATGCGGTTGATGCGTCAAGTTTGATGGAGAGCGTGCATTGAAATTGAAATCAAAGTTTGAGTAACGAAATTGAACGGTATTCTCTGTGTATGTGTGTGTGGAAAAATAAGAAGAATGATTTTGAATTGATTTTAAAGGATGGAGGAAGCCACAAGTTAGTTACTGCATAAAACGGGAAGAAAAATTTTAAAATATCTTTTATAATCTTTAAGCTAAAATAAAATTTTATTTCGATGTTCTTCACATTCCAAAATTGTGCAAAAGTTCTTATACTTTCGTGTAAAATATTCAAACGGCTCCTCTCTTCAAACTCAAAAAGAGATAGATAAGAAATTTTCGAATTATTCGAGCGAACGAATTTCGAAAAAAATTTGCGTTTCGAGCGCAAATATTCCTTACGAGATTAAACGCTCGTCGCTCATCTTAGAGGAGCGAGATGCAAATTTCTCCAATCGGATCAAAATCCAATCGTCAAGGGGATCTTGAGGCAAGATCTTGCCGGTCTGCGTATCCGACATTACAGATGTCCTCCCCGCAGCGTATTAACTCGCGGTGCAAACATTGTTGCGTTGCAAGAGGCGTGGGGGGGGTTCATAATAAAGTCCCCAAACTGGGACTGCGCGAGTTGGAATTTTCGGTACGTTCGTATCGTGCAATTCGGCCTCGTCCAACTACTGTCCACCTGAATTTTCCACACGTTGGAACATTGGCGCACGTTTCCACTAACGAGTCGAACCGTTAATCGCGGTACACGCGTGAAAATAATAGGCTTGATCCGATACGGGACGTGTACTCGATATTCGTAGAGTTGAATTGAACAAATGGAATTATTAGCGCGTGATGAAGGACGTTAAAGGATTATTTAAGATGGAAGAGATTACGATAAAAACGTGTCAATTTTTAATTAATTTATCTGGATCGAACGTTACGATCGATCACGTGGTAGGTCAACTTTTTAACTGTTGAGAAAAGTATGCCGGAACGAACGAGGATCGAGATTGTTTGAAAATACGGTACACACGACATTGATTTCAATCTGATCAAAAGTTTAAAAAGCGCCAATTGAGAGTTTCTCTTGATTAAACGCTAACCTGAACGCGTCGTGACCACGGAATTTCATTAACGTAGAATCGCGCGAAAGGAGACAAACTCTTGGAAATTAAGGTGGACAAAATGCATCAAAGGAACGTTTATCTATTACAAATATTGCCCAAGAATTAAAAAAATTACAGTTCACTCGAGAAGTAAATACGAGTCTCCTTGTATACTTTTTAATATCTTCGTATTCGTTTATCATTTTTTTTTTTTTTTTAGAAAAGAATAAGAAAAAAGAATGATCTAATAAGTAACAGAAACCGTCTTCAAAATCTTTTTCGTTTCAAAAATGACGAAGCTGCGGAAGCTAAGATTTTAATCTCGTTTGTTTATGCGTAGAAAGAAGAAGATGAACGGGATGGAGCAGATCCCTGAAGGTTGAGAGCGAGCGGATCCTCGATATGACCGGCTGCAGAATGCGGCCGACTGCATCGGCGCTCGGCGTCATCGCCATTGTCTCCATCATGATCACTGCCACATCGTCAGGTGAGCATTTCACCGCAATTCTCTTTTTTATTCTCTCTCATTCTCTTCGAATAATCGCGAGTTTTTTGCAATCTTGTTCAATCCTTTGTCGATAATAATCAAACAACGCTCGCGTGCTATAAGAAATATTTATTTTACTTCGAATATCTCGCATATTTTATATTTCTCGCGCGCACAAAATGTCACTGTTGTAGCACCATATCCAAAAGTAAAGCAAGAACAAATAACAACGAAGCATAAGAGCAAGAGAGCAGGGGATAGAATCTTTTTCTGACGTAGTTTCGAGAGTTGTTCATATATTAAGTCAAGTCTTCGAAGCAAGGAGTGAAAGATTGGAAAAATAATAATAACCAAGATATATTTTAAATTAACCATTCAGTCGCACGCCTGCTAGCAAAAATGCGACGAATTTCGATCGTGACGCTATAATTCGGCGGATAGAGCTCATTTATCGGTTTTTGTCGATGTAGCTCGCAAAGTCCGCCGAATTTTCGCGAGGAACGCGATTATTTACTCCCGTCGCACGTATCGTCGCGTAAGCGATTCCGTTTGGACGGCCGATAAACGCTTTGACCGTTTACCGTGCTCGATCGATCGAATGGAAAAAAAAAAAAAAATAAGAAAAAGAGAGGAAAAAAAAAATAACATAACACGAAGAGAGATCACAGTTTGTCGCTTTTTATGACACGGGCCGTCGGCCGGAAATAATCTCTGAAATTCGTTTACGCGCAAACAACCCGCCTATCGAAGATCAATCGCAGCCACCGTTCAAAATGAAATGTTGTTTCGATATTTTGCCACTGACTCTCGGCAAATAATGCACTCGCTATAACGTTTTTTTTTAGTAGAAAAAAAAAACTACGATAATTTTTTTCATCTCTGTCTATTTCCAAGAGATCGATAATTCTTCGTCGATCAAGATTTTCTTTTTTCTTTCTCTTCTTTTTTTTTTTTTTGTAGATATATAAATGGAGTAGGTATCGCGTGCACGCCTAGGCAATTGGCAATTGCTTCGAATAAAATATTGTAATCGAAAAAAGATTTCTTTTTTCTCTCGAAATTCTTTTCTCTTCTCTTCGAAAATTTTTTTTCGTACATTTGATGAAAGATACGATCGTATTTAACACATTTTCTCGTACTACAAAAGCTTGCACGTAGGCAATTGGAATAGCAATTGGTCCGGATAAAAAATTATAATTGAAGCAGCGAACAATGAAGAGGTATAAGGATAAATCAATTCGTTAAATACGAATTTCAACGCGTGTGTTCTTAAAACTATCTCAAATTATCTCCAGTGTACCTTTAAACTTCAGGCAAACTCCGTAACCATGCGATTATTGTTTTCAAAGTGACTAACGTTTAATCCAAAAGTTTATCCTATTTCTCAAATTTTTCCCCTCGAAATTTGCTTCATTTCGTTTAAACTTCCTTCCCTTTAAAAATAGTTCTCGATCCACCGCTTTTGTTGCAAATTGTTGGTTCCAACGAATTTTTAAAACGAATCTAGGATTCTTCGAACGTCCATCCAATCCCAAAGCCAATTTCCGCTCCTTAGGAATTTCGTGCTTTATACAATTTCCGGCTTATTAATATATAATCACACTGTCCATAACATCGTGATAAACATTTTCCTTGGATCCATCCACGGGGGATATAACGAAGAGATGATGGCCAAAAGAAAAGAGCTAAATGCAATAAGAAAAATCGATGGTAACGAGGACAAAAACTTGGGCGGAGTTAGGTGGCAAAAATAATCGGCGAAATTCAACGGTGAACACGAGCTCGCAAATCCGGATCCGGGCAAATTATGATCGATGATCGTACAGGTTCTACGATTAAGCCAACTTACGTGACCGATCGTTCGTGCTTCGGCCACTGCAAATTACTGCAAATTAACGCCACGTTTTTTCGCTTGTCCATCGTTTCTTTCCATGCGTTTTTTGTACACACACAACAACACTGCTGTGCAACTTAATCTTGGACGTTGTTGAGAGGAAATTACAGCAAATAACGCCCGCCTTCCATTTTCTATTTTCGCGATTGTTGCCCCTTGATACTGGATACATGCATATTTTGAAACGTGGCCGGCGACAGTGTATTTTAAATATCGAATAGCGATTTTTTTTTTACGATTTTCTTGACAATGGAGATGGACGAAATGTTTTTAAATGTAATTGCAGTATTTTAAATATCAAATGGCCATATAGCGATTTTTGCGAGTGGCTTGCTTTTTGACACTGGAAACGATTTTTTTTCGGGCTGTTTTTACGCAAGTGTTTTAAAATGGGATCGGGGCGATTTTCACCAACCCTTTGATACTTGACACCGTTATATAGAATATTTTATACAAAATGTTGTAACAGTATGTCAAGTGTTAAAATTTCGATGAACGTTCGATTCGTTTAACTTTTTAATACACGATTATTCGGTTATTCGTTCTTCTTCAAGAAAAATTTTACGTTTCAATTTTTCAAATCTTTTCTACACGAAATATGGTATTCAATTTGTTCGCTCATCCATTCAAAATGCGATAAACATTTCGACCAAGTTCGAACAAAAACTCGCGCATTTACTTTCCTCGATCTTTGCCAATCTTCTCTTCCAAATACAACTTGTTATCGTGGCTAATAGAAGAGTAACGAACACCGATACCACGATTCTCTTATCTTCGCGTTCCACGTTTTTCTTCCCACACACACACACTTTTACATTTCGACGCTTAAAGTTGCCTGGAAACGTAACCTCGATAAAGATGGAATATTCGTGGCGGGGCAGAATTCTATCGGTCGTTGAAAAGCTCAAGATTTGTAAGGGAAATAGGAAACCGGAAAAGATCGTGGGAAAACCGAATGAAGTCACCGAACGTGCGAAAGAATTTTTCTCCTTTATCTCGAGGAGGATGAGTCTCCATGGAATTATGCGACCATGGAATTTCTTCGTTCGATGTTGGAATCGTAATTGGCCGACGTGGACGTGTGATGTCAAGAATGAAAATTCCTCGTATAACAATAATAAACTGGCGCGAAAAGAGTGTTTCGTCCTCTCCTTTTTCCAATGGAAACACATTTTCTTCTCTTCGTTCCCGAAATTATAAATCGAAATCTAACGAAAAAAAAAAAAAAAAAAATCTTATTTTCATAATATTTCCTTCGAAACGAGACATAAAATATCCCTCTTATATCGTATTTTATAAATCTGATTGTTCAACCACTCGAGTGCACGGAGACGAGTATCGTGGCAAAGGGTATAAACTTGACTTTCGAAACTTGAAATTTCTCCACTAGAATTTTATCAACTGGCCTAAAAGCCGGTTTAACCGTCCTCGATTGCTTCCTCCCTCTTCTTCTATTTTATTTCTGATCGATAAGCTTCTTTCGTTAAAAAAAGAAAAAAGAAAACGGAAAATGGAATAGCGGGGGTTAATATCGGAGAATAATAACGTTATTATTATTATTGTTATCGGCCGGGGTGGCGATATTTCTTCAACGGAAGGAAGGAATAGGAGGACAAAGAAATTAGATAGGGGCATTGTTATCGCAGGCGGGTGGAATTTTTTTCTGGCCGCCGTGCCGGCTATTTCGTTCCGGAAGTGCATTCCAACGCTGGCCATAAAAGAACGCGACGAAATTTTAATCCGTCGCGTTATAATTTCCACGTTAAATGGCGCGAATCCCGCGCGAACGTATGCGAAAGAATATGCGCGATAAGACGAACTACTTTCGTGCAAGTTCCGGTTGTTCTCCCCGGCGGTAATGGCGAGCGGAAGTGGAGGAACGTGGTGGAATTAATTTATGGAAAGGAAAAATAGTTTAATGACTGTAAAATTAAGGAAAATGGATATTCGTTAAAGATCGTAACCGCTCCTCCCTCTCTCTCTCTCTCTCTCTCTTTCTCTCTGTTCTGTTAAGTTACCCTTTAAAAATTTACAGAAGAATGGGATGACGTTTTAACGAGGAGATTAAAATGACGTTTTAACGAGAAGAATGTGGACGAAGGAAATGGAAGGTTGAATACACGAGAGAAGTGGAAGAACTTATGTAATAACGATCTTTAAACTTTTCTAAAATTCATCTTGACAAAGTAGCGCTGAAAGACTTTTTTCCACTTTTTTCGGGATGGATCTGTTTCTACGAAAAATTGTCGGACATCTTGATCCTTGTAATTCGCAACAATTTAACAAACGTTTCATCGTGCATAAAACAAATTCACGAAAATAGAGAGGGAAAAAAGAAAAACAACACGCGAATAAAAATTTCGAAAAATTCTGTGTAATATTAATATCGGTATGCATGTTTTATTCATATAATATTCAATGTAATTTCCATTCTCACCGATGCAATTTTTATTCCCTTCAGAGAGGATTCCACTTTTAATGATTTCTGCTAATACTGTTTGAAACATTGATGCCCCATCGTATCCTTATTCATATATATATACATATATTAAATTCCTCTCGTCCATTGCGTACATTAAACCCCTCGTTTCCGCGTATCTCTCGTTAATTCCACGCGTCACAACGGTATTACAATTTTCATTAACCGAGGCACAATGCGGCAAAGAACGTAACGTGGATACGAACAAAACAGAAATTTAAGGGAGGGATACGTGGTGGACGAGATAAGGGAAAAAAGGAGTCGATAGCAAACTGCCTCCGTCGTGGAGGAGGGGCCATCATCTCGCGAGATATCCGTTTCGACGTGAAATTACAAATGACGCGTATCTCGGTCGAAAGTCTGGTGAAAAGTGTAGAGCAAGTCGGGGTTGCCCGAGGGTTTCGATATATCCTCTCCTTCTCTTTCTCCTCTCCTCGTTATCGCTCGAGTCACTCAGAGGCAAAGTTACATATTCATGGAAACGCAGGAGGAGGAGGAATGTCGCTTTCGTGGAATATCATTCGTCGATGGATGACTGAAACACTCGTCGACGAACGGATATAAGAACGAGCATTCTTTTGGGCGAAAGAAACGGTATCGGGTTTTGCCTTTTTGAAAATATACTTTATTATGTAAAAAAAAAAAAAAGTGTCGCTCGTTCAAGCATGAATTGTTGGAAATGGAATCTGGGGAATTAATCATCGTGGACGACATCTCCTCTCCTCGTTTCGTTCGAATTCCCAAAAGCCTCTCACTTAACTCGATTAACTTGATCGAAAGAATCTTCCATTTTCTCTCTACGTACGCAAGAAGAATCGGAATGTATCGATCCCATAATAGAATGGGATAGAAACGATCTCTGAATCGGAAAAATAATCAAAATTTTCATTTCTAGAAACGAAGCGACGACTCCGCAATGGCTCTGTATCGACTACCTTCCTTTCTCTGCCGCAGAAGCGGGCAACGTCGAGCCCAGCATCAACCACCCTGGAGTGGACGAGGAGGAGCAACGCGTCCAAGAGGACGAGGCGAATCAAACGATCGCCGATGACCTGGTCACGCGCTACGAGTCCATCGAGGACGAGGTTCCTCCTCCGACTGGCTCCAAAGCTACCCAGTCGCTGCCAGAGAAATCGGTGAACGTCTCGCGATCGTTCGAGGGGGAGAGCATCGTGGAGTCACTGCAGAGGGATCAAAGCGATCTGGCGTCGGTGAACGATGTCCACGAGGTGGATCCGTTGGGTTCGTCTGAGCGTGAGAGTGGCGGGAGGAGCGGGGGCAAGGATTTCGTCGCGTCGACCCGGCCGAGTCGAGTGGAAATGGCGTCGAGTGTCGGTTCCTCGAGGGTCGTGGACCGGTTGGACGGTGTCCAGGCGGAGGACGAGGGTCTGTCGAACGTTGTGGACGGTTCTAACGTGGACAAATGGCGGAGAGGGTTCACGACCGTGTCCATCCCCGGGACGGAGACCGTCTCCACGGAAGGGCCGATCGAGAGGAAGAAGGTGGAGGACATCAGGGCGATCTCGTTCCAAGTGCCTGCGATTGTCGAGGAGGAGGTGGAGGACGCGGAGGGCAAGGAACAGCCGAGGAAGGATCATTCGAGGCCGGTGAACAATGTGCTGTTGACCGGCGGCAAGTCGACGAAGGCGTTCTACGAGATCAAACCGTCGATCAAGACCGAGATGGAGGGGGGTGGTGATCAGCAGGCGAGTCCAATGATCGGCACCCAAAGGCCATTGGCTGGGAGGAAGTTCGTGTTGCCAAGCGTGGACAGCGCGTTCGGCAAATTTGGCCCCTATTTCGAGGATGGGGATCAGGAGATAAATATCACTGCCAGGATAGGGAGCACTATGCTGTTGGATTGCAAGATCGGCATGCTTGGTAACAAGGAGGTAAAATTTTTATTTTATTATCTCTGTTTTTCTGTTTTTTCTTCCCCCCCGTTTGAAAGATAATCCTTGTTGTCGGTGGATCGAGTTTATTGAACGTATATATTGCGCGGATATATCGTGTATAGTAATCGAGAGGGATGACACGTTGGTATTATCTGTTCGTCGTGAATCTTTGTATTCTGTTCGTTCAATATTCTAGATCGCGATAAAAGCGTTCGAAATGAGTAGATAAGTAGAAATTTTTCGATTCCTTCGAATGCAACTGATAAAGCAATGAATCGGCAATCTCGTTACTATTAGTTCGAAACGATCAGTGTACGTTTCTTATATATATTCTATGTCACAAAGAAACACGAAAAGAAGATGAACGATGGAACGTGGAAAAGTTTAACAGTTTATTTTTATCATAATATAAAGAAAAAGACGAGAAGGGGAGGGAGGGGGGGAAAAAAGTAGAAATAAAAGTAACGAATGAAAAAAAAGAGAAGAAATAGATTGTTATTCGGGGGAAAAAAAAGGAACGTGTCGCTTTATTTCTCACGCGCAGTGTAGTAAAAATTCCATCATCGATTTGCGGTTTTTTCTATTTTCTTTTCTTTTTTTTCTTTTTTTCTCTGCCTTTTTTTCTATTTTATCAAACTCGAACAGGAGAATGTTTTGCTTCGTCGTGGTGTAAATTTATCTATATCGTGACGACCCTTTGTCGCTCGCGTTGTTGCCCTTCGGGCCTCCTTTTTATTATCCCGTTGCTTTTTTTTACGAGATGTCAGCGATGCAATTTGCGAAATGGAACGAGCGATTTCACGGGACGAATGCAACGCTCTTGTTATATCTCTTATGATCTCTGAAGAAACTGGGAGAAAGGAATTGAATAAGAATTGAATGAGAATTGAATAAAAAGAAAAAATATCGTTTCGAAATCGTACGTAAAACTTGTTCAATTTTTACACGATGTTTCTTGCGCGCATAAATATCCGAATTTATAATTTAAATACACAAATTTTAAACAACGATGTACAAATGATTCGCGAAATAATCGGTGTATGCGTTTGAAGAATAAAGCGAATTTTTAAGCTACTGTATTTCATCCTACTGTATTCCAATGATGAATATGGTAAAATGTTCCGAAGATCCTGCTTTAAAATCACATTTTAAGAGATTACGAAAAATATTCGAAACCTAATCGTTTAAAAAGATTTCAAAATGCCAGTCGAATATCTTGATTTGTCTAACAATTTTTCTTCGAGCAATGTGAACAATACCGCCAGTATCGAATTCGGAAACACTTGGGGACAACGAAGCTTATTATTCGATCTGGTTCGCACTCGATTAATTAACAAGTCCATAGGGATGGACATTTGCATAAAACGTTGTTCCTTTTAATAGAGTATAATTTCGCTCCGAGTATTTTCAGGAATGGTGTAACCGAACAAATGGAGATAGCCGCGGACCGATTACCGAGTTATATTTGACCGAACACGTTTGGCGGCGCGTCGATGCTGGCTGTTGTTGTTTGATCGATTTGCCCGACCGCGCCTCGTGAAATCGTATTGGTTTCAAAAGGAAAATCACGCCGCTCTACGGTCAATGTTATTGTTTCACAGTCGGCGATAAAAATTTCACTTCGTTTCAATCGTTGAAATATATGTTGAAATATAACCAAAGATAGATATTCCAAAATCTGCGTGCAAAAGGAAAAAAAGAAGAAGAAGAAGAAAAGAATTAAATTTAAATTCTCGAGCGTTTTAATCTCGACAATTTTTCGACGATATCCGAACGCGAATCGCAAGAATTTGAATATTTGAAATTGAAATTAGAAATAGTTTCGAGTATCGTTGCGATATTCCGATCCTGGTGTGTATAATTCGAACAATTACACGTGAATGTTCTCGAATATAAACTGCCTATTTAAATTCAACCAGTTTCATCGAGCCAAAAAAACATAAAGCTCTCGATAAACTTGATGACGTTTCATCGAGATCCCTCTATTATTACACTCGTCACGTACGGTGTAAAACAGAGGCGGGGGAGAAAAGGAAGAGAGAACCGTCTCGTTGGAGAGAGGCGATCGAAAGGAAGCGGGGGCGAGCGATCGTAAGCCGGTCTTTCTCTCGAACGCTTACCGTGAAATTGCACTGTGCATTCATTCGCGACCGATTCAACTCCGCGAGTGTCTTCCTTCCACCGATTCCTTGTCGTGAAATTATTAACTTTCGACGAGATTCCACGCCCGCCTCCTCAGAAACAATGCGGACTCTTCTTTTCTTCTTCTCTTTCTCTCTCTCTCTCTCTCTCTTCTCCTTCTCCTTTTCGTTGAAATCCGTGATTTATGAGGCAATAACGAGAGATATTTCCCCTGTTGTGATTCAGGTGACGTGGGTGCAGCAGCCTAGCAAAGACTTGTTTCGACTGCTCACCGTCGGCATGGTACCGTACAGCGTGGATCAGAGGATCAGCCTCAACTTCCGGTAAGTGGAAGCACGACTCGATGGTGTTGCTTATTTAGTTAATTAGAACAGGTGGAGGATAAATTATTGGTTAGATTGAGGATGGATTTTTTATTGCTTTTTTTTTTAGCGAATAACGGAACGTTATTTACTCGTCGCGCTATAATCGATATCTGATTTTTATACAAGAAATTAATTTGGAATCTTTGTCTGTCGTGAGAGAACAAAATTAATTTATCTCGTACTGATTATATATTGAATATCAATGTTTAACATATTTATTTATTGTTTATTTAAAACGCGATAATATTTGATTGATTGTTTAAAATGAAAAAACGTATACATAATTATACTCGTTAAAAACTAAATCAAATAATCGAAGTTTAAAAAAAAAACTTCAATTAGGAGAATTTTATATTTACACCGAGACAAATGAAAAATTAGCGCCGTTTCGTGGAAGCTCGATTGGAACCCATTTCCGGTATCGAACTCGACGCCATTCCATCTTGATCGATCCTCCACGAAACGCGATAAAGTCGCGTTCGAATCGACGCCTTTTATACGATCGTAAAAATCGAGAAGCGCGTTCGAGGAGCCGTGACGTCGGTGAAATAAAATTCTCCTCCTTTGTTACAGGTATCCAAGCAATTGGAGATTACAGATCCAATACGCGAACCCGCGGGATTCCGGTTTATACAAGTGCCAAGTCTCGACGCATCCGCCGTTGGTTAAAACGATTAACGTCATCGTCACAGGTAAGTGATCCGCATTTGAAACTCGCATCCGCGATTAACCGCCATTGTTTCGCTTTCGAATTTTCCTGATCGATGATGCGGTGCTCTCTTAAACTTCGTTTTTAACGCTCGTCCATGGATATTCGGTTTGAAAAAATAATAGCTCCGACTCCTCGAATATTTTTGATCGAGTTTTAGAGGGAGCAAAGATGGTTGAAGGCACGTATAGCGTTTAATCGTAGCGTTTTAATTATTATTATATCCACGTATTGAATCGAAGGAACAAATATTTCTGTTTCTCTCTATACAAGAATTCTATTCCACGAATCTCCCAAAAATTACAACGTAATATAATCAAGACACTTCACTCATCCCCTGAAAAACAAAGGATAAAGATAAACAAATCCACGATAAATAAAATTCCAAATTCCAATCCCCATCCGACGAAAACGCTTTCCGCGTCCATCGTGGCGAGTTTGCAACGCGGAAAATCCCATCTGGGAGGAGAGGGGGTGGCTTGACCAGAGTCGGAGCGAAGGGTGATCCGTTCCGAGGCGTCGTTGGGAGGCGAAGAAACTGGGTTCGAAACGAGGGTTGGAAAGGGTTACAGGACGGGGTCTCGCCTCTCCCAATCCCCTTACGTCGCCAATTCGGTGCAATAGAAACCCGCATTTCGTCGGGTAAAGCGGCTCGTGGCCAGTAATCTGATCTGATCCGAAGAGGGAGGAGGGCCACATCGGTGAACAAAAGCCGGCGCGAAGTAGGGCAGAACAAACCCGGATAGACTGACATTGTTACACGACTCCCTTCCTCCTCCCTCTGTCGGCGACCAGATGGCGTCCCTGTCGCACTTTGTCGCTCGTCCACGACCCGCTGCAATTTCTTCAACCTCTTCAACCTCGGAGCGAGCATTCTTTTCGCATCGAAAATTTCTTCTCTTAGAATTATCCACGTTGGGGGATCCTTCGTTTCGTTGCGTTGATTGAATCGAGTTTCGACGAAAGAAGGGGGGGATGCGTTTCGAGCAAATATTCGTTTTCGAATCGATAATCCGCGTTGTTGTTTCGGATTAGATGAAGTAGTATCACGTTTGTGGGAATCGAAAGGGAAGAAAATTGTCGATCGAGAATGATGATTGGATCGTCGTCCTGTATAATTGCGAAGCTCGCTTATCAAGAAAGAGTGGCTAAAGATTCGAAGGGAAGCATAAAGAGAAGAATAAACAAGTTGTGTGTGTGTAACTAAAATAGCGTGGCATTTTATTAGGAAGATCGGCGAAGATTTCTTTCGGAAAACAGAATCGAGCCGGGTGAAAAACGAGTGAATCAGATCGATTGATAGGGGTGGATCGGTATCGATGGCTGCACTTTCCGTGTTCCTCGAAATTGCGTATTTGTCACGTTAGAACAGTAGTTACGGAGGGAACGACTTCTCTGGAACGCGGGTCTCGCGTGTAGAGGCATCACCGGTGATCGATCATCGATGCGATTAATGCGATGATTGATACACGTTCATCCACCGGTCCATTTGTTAGCTGGCCAAGGGCTGCGACAATATTTGCGACGACGTCTGTTTTCGCTGTTATCGGAGATTTATTAAATCCTTTATCTACATCGTGCATCCTCCTCGAGAGTTGCACATAAAATGTAATCGATGTGTAAACATTATACTTTCTTTAAGCGTTGTTCCATTTTCATAAATCCTTGCGTAGAATACGATACGAAATATTGCAAGGTAATAGAACGGATCAGGTGGAATAATGGAGTCATAATCACAGAGATAATCGGTCGAGCGATATAAGACAGTTTAGTCAATTGGAATAAGACAGGAACCAGAACGAAGAGACGAGTGGTTAAATTTTTAACAAGTTTTCGTGAATTTAAGAATTCGTAATAATATCTCTCTATACTTGCAAAACGGATAAGCATAAATGGAATAAGAAAACAATACGTGATAATCGATTGTTCGATCGGAGAAATGACGTAGAGAGATCGCATAAATGAAACACGACGTTCATCAATAGCTGCGATGAATATTCATTCCCCGTGAATCCCCCGTGAAACCCTGGATTAAATTTATTTAAAATTACATTCAATATTCATGAATATCCGCCTCTCAGACCGGTGTCACCATTGTCACTTCGTCGTCGACTGTTCGACCAATTTCTCCGTTTCTTCGGATCCTTTCGATTCCTCGAAAATCCATCCGTGATTCTCTCACATCCCCAATATCTCACACCCAGGGAAATTTAATTACGCGGCATCCGAACGAAGTGTTAGAAATATCGTCGCCATCGGTGCAAAGATCTTGGAGGAGGACGTGCCTCGTAAACTCGATCGTACACGTGTTATTGGCCGGATTCTTGGACGAAGAACTTTCGTTTCGAGGTCTCCATTAATTAAACTAGCCTCGAATTGCGACGAGGAGGAGGTGCTTTTATGCCGCGTCTCTATCTGGAAGTTGCCAGCAAAGCTCGTAGGAGAAACTCTTCGCCTCGAAACGAACGAAGGAACAATAACTTTGAAGGATTGAAGCCGCTATTTTAATCCCAAACATTTGGGCATTGTGGAAAAATTTACTCATGATCTGTGACTGGTGTTTAATGAATGCTCTGATTTGTTTTCTCGTTTCGTTTGCACAAACTACAGAAACTACTACAGATAGATATAAATATTTCGTGATTTGTGGATTTTACGAAGCGAATATAAAATAATTGGCATAATTCGTTAATTTTATACCAGATCTATATTTTTAATAAAAATCGTGTGCTTGAATCGCATAGATAAATTTTTTTAGGATGTTATGGATATATGATAAACTAAACTCAAGAGGAATCCGAAGGTTTTCGTCAAAATATCCATCCAAGTAAATAAACAGGAATCGAATTTAAACGATAGCTTCTTCCTCCTTGTATGCATGTGAAAATCTGGATGCATACCGACTTTTTCTCTCGCCGAGATCATTCATCGCTTGAAAAAATAATCCAAGAAATGTTCGATCGATTCGTTCCTTCCTTCTGTCGAGCTCCGGATTAAATTTTCCAGCGAATTCCATCCTTGCCCTCGATATCTATCGATACCTACGCCGTTGCGAGGATCGTGTTCGCGCGAGGAGGAAAATACAAAGGAAAAGTTTCGTGGAAGACATAATTTCGAAGGAATCACAGATCGAACAAGAGGATTTTCCGATGTTGTATGTACTGGAGATGGAAACGGAAGAATTTTCTTTAGAAATTTTCAAAGATCACGCGCATCTTTCTCCTTTTATTAAAGAAACGATATTTATTGGCGTGCTTCGCGCCGCAATAAACGTAAAAGCAAACGTTGTGAACAATGATGATTCGATTGCCAATAATATTTTATTATCGAAAACAAATGTAAACGTGTTGCATCGATTTTGAAATTTCGAAAAATATGACTGATACTTGCTCTAAGTATTATCATCCAATGAAATAATATTAACATTGATATTCCCTACTTTCACTCGCAGTGGAAAGAATCTAAATAAAGTAAAAGTAGAATTTCTAGCCTCGAAAGAAACTTTGCCCGATCTCTTTACACTCCGATTTCGAGCACTTCGCTCTAATATATCCCGAGCATCGTCGAGTATCATCCTCCTCCTCCTCCTCTCAGATAAAAAAGTTTCACCGTACGACTTTAACCCTTCTTTCAACCCGAGAAAAAGATTATGGAAATCGTTGAAGATATGATGGAATTGGCGATCCGTTGTTTCGATAGCCCCGATTTTATTTATCCCTCGCGTGGCGCCATCACCGATCATCGTCCATTTCTGCCGATTTTTTAACGTAGCCCAGTTTTTCTCGACGCGTTATTTCTCGTTCTCGAGACACGTCGTGGACGACAGACGATCGTGGACGTTTCGCGGATCCTTCCCTCTCGAAAGGAGGAGGAATCGTCGTGGCGTTCACGAGTCTCGCGCCGAGAGGAGTGGGTGGATCTGTCGCGCTCGATATTCCTCGCTAACGCGGGGCTGCATATAAATTGAAAACTTAAGGCGGGAATACTATGGGATATTGTGAAAGATTGATCGGCCCATTTTAGGGCGAATCCCCGGGGGAAATGTATCTGGACCGAGTGTTTTTAATTTGGTGGTGTATAGGATTGATTAATTTAATTCTGAAATTAAATTATTTATTGATTTGAGAGATTTGACAAGAGATCCAAGAGATATATTGAATTGGAACGGAACTCTTGACTTTTTTTTTTTTCTTTTCAAGATGAAACTGATCGATATAAAAATATTGTTTGTTGTAGAATCATAAAGTAGTTCGAAAGTTCAAAGTTCTTGCGTAAATGTAAAAGTGTAATCAGTTTAATCGGGTCCAGATTATTTTTTGGTTATACTCTCGTTTATATTTTATCGTCTTTTCCAAACATGTTCTCTCCTCTTGCATATTTTCGACTCGTATTCCCTTCGTCTAATCAATCATCGCCTCAAAAACTCGTTCTCGGTATTCTTTCTTATAGAAATTTTTGTCAATCACACATGTGCCGTTCGTTCCAGTTCGTTGTTTGTTCGAAATAAAATTTCAGTTTTCGGACAAAATCCTTTGTCTCCTCCCTCGACATAACACTATACGTTTCGAGCTCCGATAACAGAGATACGCTTAACAATCCGAGAAACTGCACACTCTTTGTATATTTTCTTCTTATTTTTCTTTTTCTTTCTTTCTTTCTTTTTTTTTTTTTTTAATATACCAACCCGTAGAATTCGCAGCGCAAGAAATTTCTTTTCCATCAAAAAAAAAAAAAAAGAGAAAACTCGCTGTTGAATTATTACAGACGAAACTGCGAGAGATTCAGACAGCCCGGTTGATTTCTTGTCGTCTTTTCATTCGCGACCGAGTTTCGAGCATCGCGCTTCCTCCGGTTTTCTCGTTTTGTCGATACATCACGAGACGACGTCGTATCTTTTTCTCGTTCGAGCGAGTAGAACATTGGTCATCCAGCTAGGAGAACCGTTGAATCATACGAAATCCGTGCCGGAAGAAGTAACCGCAAGAAGTGGCATATCCTTAAATTCCTTCTACATATATATATATATATATATTCTGGTGACTGTTGTCGTTGATAAAGTCGAGAACTGTCGTTTCGTCGTGTCGTGGCAGTTGTCTCGAAACGGACTTGGCGAACAACGTTCTCGTTGAAATTGTTCCCCGGATGGTGAACGTTTGCGAGATTATTTTGAACAAGAGAAGGGAGGAGAATGCGTGAAATTAAGAGAAGAGAAAAGATCGTGAAAATATGTTAAATTGATAATTTCTTGTTTTTTTTATTGGGTATTTATTGGGTAACTATTTCTTTTTTAAATAGCTTGATGCAGTGGTGGTTACGTATAAAATTGAGCAAAATAAATGTTATTTTCCCTTATCGTAAATGTGAAATATCATATTTTGAAATATTTAGGACAGTGAAGTTAAACTATGAGAATATAAGGATGGATGTGGAAATGTGTATTCTATGGTATATAAACGTAATTATGCGAAATGAGTTAGAGTAAAACATCCTATTTGAAAGGATATTTTACGTATAATGAGAGTTATCAGTAACGTACGATATTCGTGTTATTTATTCACGTATACACGTGTGTATAAATAAATCACACGCGAAAAATTAGCCGTACGTTCGAAACGTGTCGTTAGATAAATATTTAACACGTTCGACGCAATGTTGTAAAGTAAAAACAGCTTCGTAATAAGCGTCTATCAACTCTTCGACAAATATGAAAAAATTATAAAACAATGAAAAATGAAATACGTATGCAAAATTCTTTCACTCTGTCGCATCCCTTAAAAAGAATTCGTTCTTGAATATTTCGAAGCAACACGTCCAATTACCTTCCCAAAAATTATCCAAAAAAAAAAAAAAACGAAGAATCAATAAATGCTTCAAACCATTTTCTCTCCATTCTTAAACTTACCATCCTCGTTCTTTTCATCTATGATCTCCATGCGTATTCGAGCGAGAGAGACTAGCTCTCTCGATGATACCTCGATGCTTTCGAAGAGAATCACCCTGTCTCCGACAGAACAAACTTGGAAAAAAATTGTGGGCAAGAGTTCGACTCGAGTGGTTCAGTTTTTAATAATCGATTTCCTTGTCCACGTTTCGTTAATAGAGCGGCCAGATTTCGCGGATTGCTTTAATTATACGATGTAAATTAGTCGGGCCGGGTCACGAACGAGTCCTCCGTTTTACGACTGTTAATTATGAATACATTTCGCCTGGGATGTAATTCAACCCCTCTTCCTCGCGTAATCGCGTACCCTTAGCGAGCCTCTTTGAAAGTTTAATTTCGCGGTTGGAAATACGGAAATACGTGCTGTTATCACTGGTGGTGGCGATAATTGTCGAGCTCTTGAGAATTTCGTCCCTGTTTGTCTTTAATATCTTTGAGGGAAATTAAATTTCTCTCCCTCCCTCCTTTTTTTATCGAACAATTATGTATATAATTGTATATTTCGCAGGTATGAAAGAAGAATATCGTACGTTCTCGTTTCGTTTGTCTTTAATATCTTCGGGGATAGTTAATTTCTTTTCTTTCTTTTTTTTTTATCGAAGAAGAAGAATTGTGTACACGTATGTGTTTCTCAGAGATATAGGAGGGATAGAAGAGGGAAGAAGGAGTGTGTTTGTCTTTAATATTCTTCGAGGGATAATTAATTTTTTCCGTGTGAAATATATGTAAATATACGCGTTTCTTAGAAACAGAGATATATTCTCTTTGTTTAATATTTTCGAGGAGGATTAATTTCTTTTTTCTTTTCTTTTCTTTTTTTTTTTTCTCTCTCTCTCCATATAACACGAAGAATTCTATATAATGTTTCTTAGAGATGGAAGGATATGGAGGAGGAGTAATGTTGCAGAGGGTGTGTTCTCGATTTGCAGCGCCGGAATTGACAATAACGGACGATTCCGGTCGAGCGGTGTCGAAGGAGAGGCATCTAAAGGCAGGGAGCGCACTGAAGCTTAGATGCGAAGCCAGGGACGTGATCGAGTCCCTGAAGGAATCTGTCATTTGGACCAGAGGGGATGAAACGCTTGGCGAGGACGTTAGGTAAGGCTACGAGACATGATATAATGATATAAATACGAAGAAAGAAAAATTTCATCGAGTATATTATTAGCCTTTTGTCGATCTCATCGACTTTGATTTTTATAATTGTAATTTAAAATTTTTCGTAAAATTTCCATCCCTGTGATGAGATTAATACGCCCCATTTTAAAATTTTAAATATGTGACCATGCAAACCATGCAGCGTGGAAACGAGAAGGTTAAACTTATTTCCCGCTCCAGTTCCCTTGTATAAAGTTGTTCAAACAAGCAGGTTAAAATCTTAATTTCTGCAACGTGGAGAGCTCAGGAAAAAAAGGAGGAGGGGGTGGGAGGGGGGGAGGGAAAGCAAAACAATAATTCAGTCTCGTCCAGTAGCAATCTCACTAAACGTTATAACCTTTTCTTCCTATTTATTCTCCAGCGTTAATTAAATTAATTATAAAACGAAGAAGTAGAAAAAGAAATATTTGGAAGAATCGCTCGAGATGCTTTCTGTCAGCATCAATCTCTCGCTCGCTCTTTTCCTTCGAACGAATGGAATAGAAATTACGATCGAATGTTTTGTTGTTTTTTTTTTTTTTTTCCAGTGAAAACAGGACGACGGAGATTTTGGCCGGTAAGGAAGTCCTCGTGATCGTCAGCACCCTGATCGTGGAGAGGGCCAGCCCGAAACACGCCGGAAACTACAGCTGCGTGGTAAGAGGGCCCACAGCTCCGGAAAAGGCTAAAACGACCATCGCGGTACACGTGCTCAATGGTGAGTCTTTCTTTTATTTTATTTTCTTACCCTTTCTACGAAATGATTTAGACAATTTTTGAAATAGATCTATTATTCAAAGTGGTGAAACGATGGTTGTTTTTTTTGTATGTTTGACAATTTCGCTTCGTTCGAATACAAGATCGAATCGATTGCAAAAGATTTAAAGTTTCGATTGTTTTCGAAACTGAATATGAAGGATGAATTTTTGAAAGCGTATAGAGAAGAGAAAAATAAAGAAAAATCAGAAAGAGAAAGTATAAGAGAAGTCGTGAAAATATTTGAAAACCAGATTCTTCCACCTTGTTGGATTGAATCCGCTCGTAAATCTATAAGTATCGAAAAGTCTCCAATGTCGAAGAAATTCTTTTCCTCGAGACGCGTATAATAAAACCAGATGAAATAAACGAAGCATCAACCACGTGGCGACACCCACCGGAAACTAGCCGCTCAGATAAAAGATCTTTCTTTATCCGATAATGCGCTTACCAGATGTACCGAAAACATGGTGGAAGCTGGGGTGTAAATCCTGGAGAAGGGAGGAGCTCGAGGAACGTTCTCGTTTCGCGACATTATCCGTTCGAAGAAATCGAATCGTCGTGGATCGCGGTCGATTGAACCTTTTTGTATTTAATCGGCCATGCGTCTTGGATCTCTCGGGATAAGATAAAAGGAAG